AACCTTTCCTTCGCGGCCTTTAAAGGAGCCCCGTTTGACGAGGACCTCATCGTCCTTTCGCACGGGCATCGCGCGGACGTTGTACTTCGCGCGCAGCTCTTTCGAGAGCGGGGCGCTCATGAGGATGCGGCGGACATGGCTCGGGGCCTGGAAGTGCGCACGGCGCGCCTTGCGGCGGGATCCACACTTAATGCTGACCATTTTCCTTCAGGAGTGCTCTCACACGACCGTGTACCTCTCTTTCAAGGGAAATATGATTAAAAAAGAGTCCGTGCTATCATATCACATCAAAAATGAAGGTAAAGAAATGCAATCAAAAAAAATGAGGAGAGGAGAAAGGTGTTATATAAGGAGTACAGAAAAGACTAAATCTATGACGTCAAAAAACTGTGTAACACTCAATAAAAATTCACCTTCACTTATGTTTAGCTTTATCCAGTAGCATGAAACACTGATTTTAGGACTCAAAATTTCATTTATAATCTTGTTATAAAATTATATAGATAAAAATTATATCCCAGTAAAAAAAACACCATTTTTAGATTAGTTGCTATCAAAACTAGTTTTAGCAAAGATTTGTGCTTTCCCCAAATCATAACACTTTATAATTTTGAGTTTATTAAATTTATGTCCGAGTGAATCTTTTCCTGATAGTTATATTTATAGGTGCTTACACTTGCAAAAAGGAAATGTAGATGAGATCCATACATGAAAACCAACCCCATATGTGGAAAATCGTGGTGTTAGTGAATAAAGAAAGCAAAAAAAATCATGCTAACTCGATAGATGAATTTATCCCATGTAAAATAAGAAAAAAGCTAGAATCGTTCTAGGTCGCGTGTAATCGCACAGAACCCCTTCCACATATTTTTAGAGATCTGTGAACCCTAAACTATATGCTCTTTATCCAACATCTGAATTTTTTCCTAAAAAAAAGGCATTTCCGTAACAGCAAAATCATGAAAACTGCGCCCCTTATTATATCCCAGTAGAATAAAAATACTACAAATTGTGCGCTTCTGTAGAGCACATTCAATCAATAAATCGCTTCTTATTAATACATCGTTGAAATTTGTGTTCTTCACACATAAAAAAAAATTGAAAAGATCAGCTCGAAAATCTAAATATATGTTGCTAAATATTGTTAATTTGCTGGAATTTTTACCAACATTTAACACTCTCTCACTCAATCTCGCAAGAAAAAAAAATGAACATGTAAAAAATCTCCTACTAGCTTTAACATGTATATGGCATGAGCTTTTAAAATCTGTATTTACGATAAGATGCTATATAATAGTTCACATAATTCTTACTTCCGTTTACTGATATTTACGTTTGCATATATACTTCTGTTACCAATTTGGGTTTTATAGTTGTCTACTCGATGAGATATCTTTTTGTTTAGCATATTCCCCATAATTTTCCTTCTTCGCATCTATCTGATGTATTAATATCCTTTTAATCGAAAATAATCCCTATTGATCGGCTTTTCACAGATGGCACGTCTTGAGAGGAGCCGTTCCGTTCGGAAAGCGCTCAATCAACTTGCGACCCACCTCGGCGACCTTCTCAGGGGTGATATTAAAGTGTTTAAACAGCACTTCACCCGGAGCGGAGGCCCCAAACCCGGTCATCCCCACATGAACGTGCGAGTACCTCTCCCATCCAAAAGAGACGTAGGGCTCAACAGAAATGACGGGGATGCCATTTGGGATGACGGACTCCCGATATCTCCTCGGCTGCTCCTCAAAAAGCTCCTGGCAGGGCATCGAAACCACCCCCACCCTCAAATCCGACAGCAGCGCGACGGCCTCCATTGCGATCCCGACTTCCGCACCGCTGGAGAGAATCAACAGCTGGGGATTCTCCACCTCGCGGAGGGGGTAGGCCCCCTTCTCCACCCCCTCCAAAGAAGAAGTGGGCTGGGGGGTGGTGTTTTGCCGGCTTAAACAAAGAATGGAAGGGCGGTGTTGGGCGCGAATCGCCGCGGCCCAGGCCCCACTCGTCTCCGTCTGGTCGGTGGGGCGAAAGACGAGTAAATTGGGAATCGCTCGCAGCATCGCAACGATCTCGACGGGTTGGTGCGTCGGCCCATCCTCGCCGAGGCCGACGCTGTCGTGGGTCGCGACGTAGATCACGTGATGATGGCTTAACGCCGCCAGCCGCAGCGCACCAAGGCCGTAGCCAAAAAACGTGAGAAACGTCCCCGTGTAGGGCAGAAGCCCCCCGTGGGCGTCGATCCCGTTGGCGATCCCAAGCATCCCGTGCTCACGCACCCCAAAGCGAACATACTGCCCTTCCGGCGTCAAGGGGGTGAAATCGCACAGGTTCGCCGAGGCCGGGTGGGTTAGGTTGCTCGGCGTGAGGTCCGCGGAGCCGCCAATAATAAAGGGTAAGGCCGGCAGTAGAGCCGCAAGGCAGTTCTCGCTCGCCTTACGCGTCGCCACCGGCTTGTCGTTTAGCGGGAGCGTCGCATCCCATCCCGTCGGCAACTCTCCTTTCATCCGTGCCTTAAAGGCGGCAGCCTCCTTGGGGTATTGCTTTGTGTACTTCGCCATCTTCTCGTCCCACTCGCGATGCGTTTGTTCGCACTTCTGCGCATGCTTGCGGAAGACCTCGTACACGGCATCATCAATGTAGTACTTTTTGCTGGGGTCGCGTCCAAATTTGCGCTTCAGCACCGCAATATCCTCATCGCCGAGTGGCGCGCCGTGTACTTTTTCTGTGCCCTGAAGCTTCGACCCATAACCAATGGTCGTCTTGATAAGGATAAACTTGGGCTTTCCGCGCACTGACTTGGCCTCAGTGAAGGCATTTCGTAATGCCGTGAAGTCATTATCAGCATTATCCACCTCAATTACGTGGAAGTTCATGGATTCGTGTTTTTGCCGAACTTTCTCCGTGAAAGCGAGACTGGTGGAGCCATCAATGGTGATTTGGTTGCTATCGTACACCACCACCAACTTCTCCAGACAAAGGTGCCCAGCCAGGGAGAGGGCCTCAACGCATATCCCCTCCATCAAACACCCATCCCCACAGAAGACATAGGTCCAGTGGTTGACAATATCGAGCTCGGGGCGGTTGAAGGTCCCGGCGAGGTTGGCCTCGGCAATCGCGAGCCCGACGGCGTTCGCAATACCCTGTCCGAGCGGCCCTGTCGTGACCTCCACCCCGGGCGTCCACCCCCGCTCGGGATGCCCTGGGGTGCGTGAGCCGATCTGGCGAAACCGCTTTAACTCATCCATCCCGAGCGCGTAGCCAGACATGTGGAGCAAGGAATACAACAACGCGCAGCCGTGGCCGTTGGAGAGGACAAAACGATCGCGATCGGGCCAGCTGGGGTCCGAGCCGAGGTAAGACATCACCTCAGTCCACAGCACCGTCGCCACGGGGGCCATCCCCATGGGGGTGCCGGGGTGACCTGATTTCGCCCCTTGGACAATATCCGCCGCGAGACAGCGAATGCAATTAGCCACTTCCAATGCTGAAGCCATGGATTTATTATTTTTTTAAAGGGGAAGCTAACACGCTTAATAACAAAACAATTCTTGATGAAAAAATCAAGAATAATGATAATGAAAAAAATGTGAATAAGTAATATATCTTTAAATCTGTCTCACCATATGAAAAAGACACCGATAAATGTGTCAAAGGCAAAGAAAACGTATGAGAAAGAGAGATGGGTTGTTGAGTCACAATGTGGAAAAGAAAAAAAAGGAAATCAGTCATGGCACTTTTTTTTTGCTCCTCACCCAGTATGGCAGATTGTTACTTTAATGGGTAAATAAGTTAAATAAAGAAAATGAATGAAAGCATTTACTTCTTCTTCTCAAGTTTCTTCATGTAGAACTGGAGCTCAGCACCCTCGAGCATCATGCCATCGGCACGCCCAACCTGACCAGGACGGCTGGTGATGCGAGCAAGGAGGCGGCCCTCACGCAGCTGGTCCGCGATCGACTTCTCGATCTTGTGGGAACGGCGGCGGAATGCCCAGGCGCGCTGCAGCTTCGTCGAGGCCTTGGTGATGTCGTACTTCACAACCGTCGCGGAGGCCGCAACCTTGCGGGCCTTCTTTTCCTGGACAGCCTTGGGGCCCTTCGCCTCGGCATCGAAATTAATGCCGAAGTGCTTGGCGTACCACTGCTTGAACGGCGAGGCGTCGATCACCACGATGCAGTTCTTCACGAGGGTCTTCGTGCGTACCAGCTCATTAGAGGTCGCATTATATACAACGTCAAGAATACGCGAGCGAAGGGCTATCGCCTCGGTACCCCAGGCGAAGTTGCCGTTATCCAGGCGCAGGCCACGCAGCTTAAAGTTCCCTCCGCGGGCGCGAACGGGGCTCACACGGCGCGGTCCAAGACGCGTGTTCGCGGGTAAACGGCCCAGCTCCGCCTTCATGCGCTTACGGTGGATCTTGGTCTTCCCACCGGTGATCTTGCGCTTGTGCAGACGGCTACGAACAATGCCCATGGTTGTTAGATGTGCCTACAGGCAGTATAACGATGAAAGTAAAGAAAAGAAGCAGTGGTTGTTACAGATAAAGGAAATTGGAAGTAAAGATATATTAGTAACAAAATGGAGTATATCATAGAAACAGCATTTTTTTTATATATAAAAGGCAAAGAGCTATACAGAAAAATAGCATACAGAATTCTAAGCCGATTGTTAAACATCGTTGAGCAAAAAGAACAGAAATTCTGAATATTTCTTTAGAAGGCATGAAAAGAAAAGCTCTGTTCATCAATGATGGATTGATTTTCTAATCAACGGTAATCTTCAGTTGAAACTGATGGTGAAACAAAAATGAATCCCTCATTCTGGAAGGCAACATATTAGCCATCTCGCGCGGCATGTTTGCCTTTATTAGCCAATCCCTAATTCCATCGGTTGCCGTCTTCGGTCCGAAATATAACTCTACCGTGTCGTTCATAAAATGGCCTCGAAAGCGGCCCCCAAATACAACCATTGTATTACGACAGGCGACAGCCATATGACATTCACGTCTGGAGGGGCAGTCCTGATCATAGACTTGCTCAAAGATATTTGCCTCGATGTTGTAGAGAAACAAATCATTAAGCTTCTTCTTTCCATTCCACCCCCCGAAAACGTAGACGCTTCCGTGATGCACCACAGCACTATTGCGGGCTCTGCCAAAGAGCATCGGTCCGCTTGAAATAATCTTTCTCCAAACACTTGTATCGAAGTGATACATATAAAAATCATCACAACACTCCCCTACGGCATTACGACCACCAAATACCATCATCGTCCGTTCATGTGTTAAAGAAGTGTGGGCGGACCGCGAGGGCGGCACCTCACCAAGCTGCTGGCATTTAATCCACATCGGTAAGTCGAGGGAACACATAAAGAGGTCGCTAAGCCGTTTATTACTGTTGCGCCCACCACATTTTCCGCCAAATATATACATGCATCCTTCGAAAAGGACAGCACTATGGCAATACCGGGTAGAAGGCACCGACGCCACCATAGGGATGTTCACTGGTAAGCAAATCCCTTTCGCGTCTATGGTAAAAAGCTGATTAAAGCGCCCCCTTCCATTACACCCACCAAATATAAAAACCCGATTGGAGTACCACACGGCAGTGTGAAAAGCGCGCGGGCTCTGCAAAACTCCCGTAAGAGTCCTTTGACTCCATTTTTTTTCAAGCACATTATATTCCCAGAAGTCATCCAGGTAATTTGACGAGCTATCTTCTGTATCATTAACACCGCCGTAGACGTATGCCTTGCTTCCATCAGTATCTGCGCAAAAAGTGTGGCCGATGCGGCCAGGAGGTGCTACATCGCATTTTGCCATACTCCACCTCCGTGGTGTTGTGGAGAGATGTGGCATACGTGAGGTCTTGCCGTAAAAGAAAAAAGAGAGGATATAATAGAAAGGGAACAATATCTTTTATAAATGGTAATAGACCTGCAACAGATGTTGGTGATAATCCAATCTGAAGGTAGAATAAACCTACCGTAATTTGTTGAAGCTTAAAAGAAGAAAAAAAAGGGGGTACGTTTTAGGCATAAAGGGTTACATATTCAAAGAGATAGAAACATAAGAACACCCTATATGTGCTCTGTGATAAATCAGTATTCGATTAAAGAATCTTACCTTCTTAAATAGTAACAAAACCATCAATATTGGCTCGCGTCTAAAAATTTCCACACCTATTGTGAGCCTCTCCCGCCCACCACTAGATCTCACAACTCGTCTTCCTCAAGCCGTTGGCGAAAGGCACGGCGACGACGCAGTGGGGGTAAGCCCAAACTCGGCAGCTCACGCGGCTTCGCGCCGAGGGCATATGCGGGGACATATTCCTCATCCTCCTCCGCATCCCCCCTACTCTCCTCATGCGCATTGGGTGCCTCCTTGTTAGTCGTTACCTTCCCAATCGAGGGTTCGACGTTCGAGTCGACAACGGGCAGCGCCACCTTCAGAGTGTCAAAAAGCTGCTCCCGACGGAGCGCGTTCACGCGATCCTCGCAAAGGTACTTCAGCGCCTGCCATTCCTCCCGCAAAAGATGAAAATCCTCCTCGTTGGCGGGAGCGCCATCATCCTTCACAACCCCGGCCCCAGCCCCAGCCAATGCCGCCCCGCTGCGCTGCTGGAGGAGGTGCCGCCGGAGGGCGTCGAAGGTGGTCGCCGGGAGGAGATCCTGCCAGGAAAGCACCAGCGCCTCCCACCACCCCGCCCGTCGGCCCTCCCTTTCCCTTTCCCTTTCACTCCTCCCCCC